CCCCGGACACGTCCATAGTGTGATTTGTTTCAGCTAGGTGTGAAACCACTGCACTGATGAGTGACTTAATCGTTCCTGTGTTCAGGGTGGTGTTCACGAATCCGTTCAGACAATCGCCTGACCGTGCGGCCTTTGTACGTTATTCCACAAGAACAGGCAAATGAGTATACACAGAATGATATTTATTTTGTTTTACTTTCCCAAGACAATCTTATTCCCAAGTGGTGATATATATATTGAGATGTATTGGCATGAATACGTTTCTATTTCTTGCTTTGAATTTTGGAGCCAGTGTTCAGCTTTTTCTCAAGTGTATCTTTCAATTCTCGCAACTTTGCATCAGAACAGAAAACAAGAGGTTTACTGCAAGTCATTAATAATGGCCCCAGTGGAACTTTAAGTATCAACTGATTCAGGGCCTAGGCCGAAGCAATCTATTGAACTGTTCATGTCCTAGCATGTAACGCCTGCCTGGCTGATGATTTGGTAATTCATCGTATTGCTTCTCCCATTCCTCGTCCAACCAACAACGGTCAATTGACGTCCACAGCGAAATCGGTCGACCAACGAAGTCAAAATGATCGTGGCGAAAAGCATTCAAACTTTCCCAAGGTTCACTCGCTGCGGTGGTTTGTTCAACTAGGGCTTGTCCATTGTACTCGTTGCGGGCTGCCAAGCCCAATGTTGCATTGCCTCAACCCAAGCCTATTCGTTCCGCTACGAAGGCCATGCTACAATCGACCAAACCAACCCATTTGGCTGTTTAGTTATGCGATCAATCGGGCAAACTTGGGCCTGCTGCTATAATAATCATACTCGAAAAGGGGCAGCGACATGATGTTAAAGGTCATTTCGTTGGTCATTCTATACGTGTGTTCATACGCATGTGCCGCAACACCCGATTACGAAATGTACTGTGAGTTTCGCGCCGATACGAAGCGAACCGGTGTGTTGTTCTGTGACATTCCGGTGTTGATTGCTTGAGTCAACCACGTTCATTAGGCTGCCAATATCACCTTAGTGCTATCCGTGTTGTAGTCACGGCATTGATGCACACGCGCGTGCACTGGATCGGAAAGAGAGTGTGCGTAGGCGATTGAGTACGAGAGCTCGGTTCAGGCTACGCGGCAATCCACGGTGCTGATCTGTAATTTCTAATTACTGGTTGTCTGACTATTCGGTTGTGATGACTACGAAGTCATTGAAGTACATGGAACAAGAGTTGTGCCCAGAGGCAAATGTAAGCTACCAAATAAACAGTTATTTTTGTGCTTCCAAACATACGGCGGAAACAAATTATCAAGTCACCAGTCCATGTGATTACAATGGTCCAGACGGGAACCTAATTCGTCAGTGAAGATGAATACAACCGTCTCTCCGAGCACACCCACACACAGGCACTATAAGCAGACGGTCAACATTCTACCTAAAATTTCACTGCCCATGCAAATCGATTCGCGTTGCAAAACGAATGCTATCTAAAGAAGAACGAGAAAGATGGCGGCAGCAGCAGCAATGATGTCAATTAGTTGAACAGGAAAAATCAGCCCGCATTGTTGTACAGTACAATAACCACTTGCTCAATTGTCCCCCTCTCCCAACAGACCAGTAAACATCCCGCTGGCGTAAATTCAAATAGCGAATATTTTTACCGACCATCAGGGTTGACCAAATAACAATCCACAAGAAACGTGGGGACGGGGGAAGAAGACTCGCCGGAGAATGAGTCATCCGCCCATTCGCTCATCCACCCACTTGCTCAGTCAGTCACGCGCATTCCAAACACGAGCTAATTGTAATTGGATGTCGGACCCGATCGATTTCCAACGTCACACACGACCGCCAATTGCCAGATGGGCAAACGACGGATGAGTGTTTCACATGAGACAATCAGCCCGGGCCACTGTATTGCTGGTGTGTTTGCGTGTGTGTGTGTGTGTGTGTGCGTGTGTGTGGCCGCATGTATACACACATGTACTCATGAACCGGTCGATCGAACAATGGTCCAGCCGCTTGCTCGCGAGCAGCAGGGAAGCGAACCGCGAATGATGAGTAGTGTGATATTTTCGTGGTTAATTGTGAATCGTGCTGTTGGGTGAGGTGAGCGAGATGACAACGTATACCTTTCGATGTGAATAAAATAAACCAGAGTGCTGATAAGTGATAGTCAAACAGAGCCGGAACAGGCTTTCAGATTTGTTCTCCTATCTAAGAAACTGATTTACAAGCAAAAAGAAGCTCCGGGATTTTACCAAAATGGAAAGGAAAACATGTGAAATCACTGGAGGGAAACGGAAATTAGACTATAAAATGACCAAAAAGAGATTTGGATATTTTGACTTGAGTATACTGAAGAGGAGGAGAACCGTATCTAACGATAAACAACGACTCGATTTCAAGTCTTTTCGCATAAATAAAGCGAACTAGTTAGCGGTGGGTGAAGTTATTTCGTCCCGGTCGAGACTGATTAGTAGTGTCTATTAATTTTGGGACCCTGCCGGGAGTCGAACCTATGTAACCCGACATACCAACCACCGGCAAACAATTTGTCTGAAGGCATGAAATAGAACTAACTGTCTTTAATGGTACATTTTTGTTCATTCACGAGTAAGAAAGGGAACAGTATGAGGTCATGTTCAGTTCAGTTTAGACAACCGACAACTCTGTGGTGCTCCGATAGTGGACAGCGTTCTCTGGGTACCCGACTCAGTCAAACGGGGAGGAAGAAACAGATTGTTGAGAGAAAAATGAGTGGCATTTGAAAACATCAAATATGCAAGCATCACAAACAACCACAGCGTCGAAGTATCAGCCAGGTCGATCGCGAGAATGTTCCCCAAAAAGACGGACAAGTAGAATAGCAATAAAATATTGATTGATCTGGGAACAGCTTGATACGACCATGAAGGTAAACTCTCAAAACCCAAATTTCTTGCATACTTGCGCAATTTCAAAAACCCGCTTGAAATAGGGTCCAGTTTACATAAGTCAAACGAAACCAAAACTGTCGGACGAGAGCGGAAACTGGAATTACGGTTTACTGAGGAATTAGCTGATGTGCACTGAGAGTGAGAGGTAGAAAATTTCATACATCATTCGTAGCTAATGAGAAAGGTTTACCACTTAATAAAAATGAAACCTTATGATGATGAATTCGTCGCGTAAATGAAGCATGAACTGAAATGTCTATAAGAAACTATTCTTCATTTAACTTTCAAGTTTTCCCTGTGAGACCCAATAAGGGTGGTTCAAGAATTTTCGACAATATTGCCACATACGCCTTCTCTTGTAACTATTGCAGGAACAAAAACAACAAATTAGCAATATGAGAGTATTTTAAAATTTGATTATATAGCGACAATTTTGGTAACAAGGGGTCATGTTCGAAATGGTTCCAACCAAGTCCTACACTTAGAGGCTAGTGCTGAGATGGGTACATTAGCTCACAAAAATGGATTGCATTATTTCAGGTTAGGTAAAATGAATAAAAGATCTGATCAGCTGCCTGGTTGGCAACTTTATAGTGTGCTTGCGTTCTAACTGTGAGGTTCGATCCCGAGTTGGATCGATGAATTCGCATTGCTGATGACACCGAACCAGATCGAAACACTTGTCCAGTGCTACCTAGCTTTTCAGCTCACGCTTCATCTACAAGACGAATTCATCATACAATCAAATCAGATCCTTCGTTCCTCTCATACAAATCTGAAATTATAGAAAGATAAGTCGCACCAAGGTTAGTGCCGCGTCGGGGGGGGGGGG